CAGTCCCTCCTTCTTGCTCTGCTGGTCAGCCGGGAGTGTTCTAACCATAAAGCGCTCTTGAGGGATGGTCATTTGTCAATCCATAGCGGCAGCGAAGGCAGGCGGCCGACTCTCCCCTGTGGTGGGAGTTGTCACTCACTCATTGGCAAACAGGAATCCAGACTCCTGGGGCCCCGGGACCTCCGGGCCTCCGAGGGTCAGCCTCTCTTCCCAGTGGCTCCCTGGGGTCCCAGGGCATCCCGGAGTGCCCCTACACTCACGGGGGTGCATAGATGGCCTCCCCCCACCGGCTGCTTGACGAAAGCCAGGGCTCAGGACGCCCGCGCCTCCTGCCTTTCCTGAGCCTTGGTGTCCTCACCATCATGGCTGCTGGGAGAGCGGCCCTCTCCCGCACACAGGTGGGGGGTGGGGGTGACGGCCTGGCTCCACCACAGTCAGCACCGCCAGACAGACATTCTAGAATCTATGGAGCCATACCCATTTTGGGAACGAGTCCCAGAAAATAGGATTCTTCATAAAACACTGATTACATCCAAACCCATGGACTCCTACCCCCCCCCCCCAGGGGGCTCTCCTTCGCATCCCCTACAAGAGCCCAGGTGGGGGAAGGTGGAGGCCGCCCCGGGTGCACCCCTCAGCCCCTGGGACTCAGGGAGTGGGGCCTCCAAGGCCAACTTCTGTGACCTGGGGCTCCAGCTGCAGAGGTCAGAGAGAGAAGAGGTGATGCCCAGCTCAGGCCAGCCTGCAGTAAGCGGGTCCGCCTCGGGAGCTCCCCACAATGCAAGCAATCACCGCTATTTCCCCGGCTTACTCCTCGTTTCGTCTCCACAAGAAACACTGTTAGAGCTCTTCCCTGGCCTTAAATACGCGTAATTGCTTCGGGTGCCAGTAAAAGGTATTAATTCCACTTATGCATTCCATAAACTTTTAGGATAACGCAATTGATACCGTGATCGTGTTGGGACACCTCCACTATTATTTTCCTGCTTGCAAACCTCCGAGGGGCTGGAAAGTTTTCTCCCGAATCCATTAGTGTTGACTCAGCCACATTCTACCAGGAACCCCGCGTAGAGTCTTTGTGCCTCCCCGCCTGCCTTCCACAGGACCCTTCCCGGCCAGGAGGGTGGCGCTCACCCTGTGTGCGCTGGCTCGCCCCCAGGACGGACGGACTGGCACTCGCCCACGGTCATGTGTGGGGCAGTTGGAGGTCACTCAGGGGGTTGTGTCCAGGCTGGCGGGCTGTGTGGGCTGTGTGGGGCCCCCCCTGGGACTCGCTGAGACCTCACGCCCGTGTACTCCCTCACTGGCCTGCCTCACACTGCTCGGATGGGCCAGGGCTCCAGCCATACCAAGCCTCTTGGCTGACCTCAGAGCCCCCTCCCAAGCCTACCAAACCCCAAGGACAGTCCCCTCCCCTGGCAAGGCCCAGCCTAGGAGCTGGAGGAGATAGAGCTGGGCTGGACAGCATCCAGATGTCCCTCTCATTGGGCTGCTCCTTGGGACTCCTGGGACTGGCCGGCCGTGTCATTGCCAATCCCTGGGCCGGGGGGGCCCAAGACGGGCCTGGTCGTCAGGGCCCAGAGGCCAGGCTGGAGTGTGCTGGGCTTGGGAACAGGGACAAAGGCATGAACACTGCCATCCCTGGCCGGGCTCCACCGCCCACCAGGCCAAAGAGCATCAGTGCCCAGGGGAGCCAGCCCCCACCCGCAGCCCTAACCTCCCAGCGTGTGTCACCCCCTGACGCCCCCAGAACCCCAAAGCCCCTGACACAGGACAAGCCCCGGCCAGGTGACTCAAGAGCAGCCACGCGTGGGGCGCTCCCCAGGCTCCAGGCCCTGCTCACAGTGGTCCCAGGACCCAGGGCACTTGTCCCCACTGACCCCTCAGGCCACAGCCCACTTTCAGACCACAGCAGATCTGGGACCTGGGCCCTACCAGCCACACTCCCACCCCGTCCGGTCCCTGGTCCCCAGTTTAGAATCTTGGAGGCTGAACATACCCCACCCCGCTGCTCGGTTACGCCCGTCCACCCGTCCTGGCCTCCCGTGGGGGAGGGGGCGTTGTCACCCTGGGCAGCGGCCAGAGGCCTGCACACGTGCACACGTGTGTGTGTGCATGAAGCATGCACACCTGTGCACGCATGTGAGGTGCCGTGTGTGTGTGCGTCCGTGTGTGCGCACACGCCTGTGAGCGCAGGGCTGCCCTCGGTGCCCAAGGAGCGCGCATGTGAGATCTGGGGGCAGAGGGACCGCCTGGGGCGGGGGCACTCGCCGGGGGGCTCGCCAGGCAGAGGCCAAAGACCCCATTAACAGCTGTGATCCCGTGGGGACTGGTGAGGCCTTTTTCCCGAACGAGGAGAGGAGTGAAGGCAACAGTCAGTTTGGAATTGTACTTGAGAAAAATATGAATTATCTATCAGTTACCAGCCGGCCGGCATGGCGGGGGCCACGCATGGCGTGGTGCGGAGGCCCAGACAGCACGCCCGGGAAGCAAGTCTGGGCAGCGCTCGCACAGCCGGACCCCCAGAGCTGTGAGCAGGCGGGCTGCCCGCAGTCCCCACCCTGCACCGTGAGCCCGCCCGCCCCCTCCCCGGGCAGGGAAAGGAGCCTGCGGGGGGTCTGCTCCCAGAGAGCCAAGGTGCCAAAAATCTCATTATCAATGTCTGTCCCACCTGCACCCCCTGCACTGATGGGGGCTGGGGAGGGGAACCGGGTGGGCCAGCAGCACCCCCCCCCCCCAGCACAGCTGCGAGAGAGCAGAGGGCCCAGGCAGGGGGGTGGGGTGAGGGGTGGACAGAGCCGCTGAGCACAGGTGAGCCTTCCCCTGCCCGTCCCCCCACCCCTGCCCTGTATGGCTGGCCAGGACGGACCACTCCATGGGGCCACGTGGGGCCGGACAACTGTGACCCACCATGGGCCCTCTAGACCTGATGCTGCACCTCTGACAGGAAAGGTGGAAGCAACTGGGGGGCGGTTGGCAGAGGCCCCAGGCGGGTGGTGCGGGGACAGTCAGCAGAGGGGCAGCTCCTGTCTCTCCCTGAGGACCAGCTCAGACCATCTAAGCCACTCCAAGTCCCCCAAGACACTGCAGAGACCCCACCAGCATCCTCAAACAGCAGAGAGAAAGAGAGCCAGGACCCCCCCACCAAGGCTTGTCAAGATTCCTAGGGGTCCGGCAGCTCAGGCCTTGGTGACAGTATTGGTGCGGGAGGGGTTGGGACCCTCGCCCGAGAGGCCAGAGAAAGGGCTTAGGGAACAGTATGAACATGGGAGAGGGGAGGGTGTGAGCCTCCTGTCGCCAGAGGTGTGCAAGGGTGGGATGTCTCAGGCGCCTCCTGACCTGGCTCACAGTCACACAGCCAAACCTCAAATTTGGGGTCAGGGGACCAGACCCCACAGGAAATAAGAGACTCCTCCAGCAGGGACAGCTGCTGCGCAACGACCTCACCCAGGAGGACCAGCTCTAGGGCACCCCATCCCCAGCCCTGCTGCTAAGGAAATACTGATGTGATGCACCGCTCCTATGCATAGACAACATCTCCTCTAAGGAACAACAAGGAACACTGCAGGAAAGCTTCACGAGTGAGGACGAGGTACCAGCTCAGGGCAGCCAGCGATGGGTCAGTGGCTGGGGCCCACAGCCAGAGCGAGAACCAGAGACAGCCGCAGGGGCGCCGTGCCTTGGATCCCAGACCCGGACTGGCCGCTGCAGAGAGCCAGACCCGTCTCCCTGTGGATCCACACCCCCTCCGGCCCCCCAGGAGTGTGGGAAAACCACAACCTGGCCAGGGGGCAGTGGGGACCGTGAGACCCCATTATTAAAGCGGCAGAGCCTCGGGGTCACCTGCTTGGTGCTCGGCCACCCTGCGTGGACTTCTCTGTTTCCAGGGGCTGGGGGAGACCACGGAACTGCTGTTCGCTGGAGGGGGTGACGCTGCCTCACGGCCAGGACCTGCTAGGCGTCCCCAGGGCAGGTGCCAGGCAAGGCTCACTGTCCTCTTCTTGCGTGCGGGCAGGAGACCTGGAGTGCCCCTGGGGCTGCCTTTCCCGCAATGCCCTGTGTGCCCTACCCTCAGAGGGGAGCCTGTGGTCTGTTCCAGGGTCGCAGCGCCCCTGCAGAGCCCCTGCCCCTGCGGGCATGTCCGGCAGCCCTGTCCTCTCCCAGCTGCACTGTGGTTAGGAAGCTAGAGCCCCCAAACCCGGAAGCCCGGCCGCGGGGTCCGGGCGAGCACTTACTGCCTGCGTCACTCTGAGCGAGCTGCTTCCCCTCCCCTCCGCAGCCTGTGGCCTGGGCTGTAAAATGGGACGGTCACAGATTCTACCTTGGGGGTCGCTGGGCCATCTCAAGAGTCAGCGTAAACTCAGAGCACCCCGCGGAGGCCACGGGTGCGCGGCCGCCATCCAAGTCGGCGAAATCCCCACCAGGGGCCAGAGTGCTGCGGAGGGCGGGTGCAGGGGGCGAGGCGAGACCTGAGTCCGCAGCGCTGTGGACCCCCCACCCCTGACTTCCCAGTCTCTCACCCATGCTCGTAGATGACGGCGCAGAGTCAGGGCAGGCAAAGCCCCAGCCCGCCAACCGCCAGACTCCAGACCTCCCTGCCGATGGCACTACCTGGAGGAGGCAGCCCAGCGAGCCGAGCATCCCACTCACCCAGGACAGGATTCAAGCCCCACCTCGGGGCAGGGACGCCGGTGGTCTGCCTCCACCCCGTGGGCCCGTGGACCTTGCTGCGGAGCCTTGTCTGCCCCTCTGGGGCCCCGCGGAGGCCGGCGGCTCTGGCCGCACGTCCGAGGGGTGGGCACGCCCAGACTGCCCAGCCCCAGACCCGCCTCCTGCCCGATGCTCCTCCCGCGGCGGTGGGTCAGGCGGGAACCCCGCGCGGACACCTGGCCGGCCCTCCCTCCCTCGCTGCCCAGACGGCCGGCGGGGGCGGGGGGCGGTGACCGCCCCTTCCCACCCCACACCCCACAGATGCCCCTGGGAGCGGGGGCGCAACTCACCGTCCAGGTGGCGGACTTGGCCGTGCTGGACTGCTGGAAGGTGACGTCGAAGTGGTGGGGGCCGGGGTAGTCGGTGTTGGAGGGGATGGCCGGTGCCGGCGACATGGTGTCGAAGGTGGAGCTGGGCTGCGCGTAGGGCGAGTGGGTGGGCACGCTGGTGGCGTGCTCTGGGGTGTAGGGGCTGGCCGAGGCCGCGCGGCTGCTCATCTGGTCCATGGTGCTGCTCAGCAGATTGAACTGGGACTAGCGTGGGAAGGGGGAGGGAGGGGGACACACAGTCAGGCTGGAGAGTGGAAGCGCGAGGCCAGAGGTGTCCTGTTACAGGAGCCTTAAAGGGCCAGGAGCTCAGTCATCCCAAATATTTCCCGCCCCCCCCCACCCAACAGGTCACTGCTTGTGTTGGGATAAACTGACATATTCACCTCACCCTCCCCTCTCCATCAGCCTCCCCGTGCCAGGGTTTCCGGGGTTCCATGGAGCGCACCTGGAGGGGAGCTGCTGGTGGAGGGGCAGGCTCCCTGCCCCTGGACCTCCTGGCAGGCTCGCAGGAGGGGCTCGGGCTCCGGAGCAGGGTCCCCGTCCCCAGTCCCCCGGCACAGCCCGAAGTAGGGAGATCCCTGGCCCAGGGAGCCAGACAGGGGCAGGGGGTGGCCCCAGTGTGGGGGGCCCACGGTCCCCTCCTGCTGTCATGCACAGCCTCTGCCCTAACCCGGCCCTAGGAGCCCAGCCCCTCCCCCCGGGGCCACATGCTGAAGGAACAGGGACTCCGAGCTGCACAGTGTGGGTGCATCCCCAGGCCCTGTTGGGGTCAGCCCCTGCCTGGAGCTTAAGGAGGCCCCAGCAAAGGAGGGAGGAGACAGACCAGATCCCTCCTGGAGGGCAGGCCGGGAAGACCCCTTTCCCATGAGACTTATTTTAATCTTCTCTTTGGGTCTGAAGCAGACACTGCTATTATCCCATTTTACAGATGAGGACACTGAGGCATGTAAGGGACTGACTTGCCTGGGGTGAGGCGGTGGTTCTGACAAAGTGGGGGCACCAGCCACCCTCAAGGCAGTCACCCTGAGAGCTCTGGGGACAGGAGGGGACAGTGAACCGGGGACAGAGGGCCCAGGGTCCCCAAGGGGGGCAGAGGCAGACCAGCAGCCAGAGGCTGCTGCCCTGCACCCCCTCAGCAGACTGCCTCCTCCAAACTGCAAAGCACAGGAGTGCATCCCTCAGGTTGGGAGGTGACCGGCTGCTCAGCCCTGGGTCATCTTCTCCGTCAGGAGGCTGGTGCTCCTCACCCACGGCCCCCCCCAGCTCAGGACCCCCCTGGAAGGCACACGTCCACCCCCAGCTCAGGATCCCCCTGGAAGGCACACGTCCCCCCCCAGCTCAGGATCCCCCTGGAAGGCACACGTCCCCCCCAGCTCAGGATCCCCCTGGAAGGCACACGTCCCCCCCCAGCTCAGCATCCCCCTGGAAGGCACACGTCCCCCCCAGCTCAGGATCCCCCTGGAAGGCACACGTCCCCCCCCAGCTCAGCATCCCCCTGGAAGGCACACGTCCCCCCCCAGCTCAGGATCCCCCTGGAAGGCACACGTCCCCCCCCAGCTCGGCATCCCCCTGGAAGGCACACGTCCCCTCCCTAGCTTGGCATCCCCCTGGCCTGGAAGGCACACGTCACCCCCCCCAGCTCGGCATCCCCCTGGAAGGCACACGTCCCCCTGGCCCAGCTCAGCATTCCCCTGGAAGGCACACGTCCCCGCCCCCCGCCCAGCTCGGCATTCCCCTGGAAGGCACACGTTCCCCCCCCCCCCCCCCCCCGCCCAGCTCGGCATCCCCCTGGAAGGCACACGTCCCCCCTCCCAGCTCGGCATCCCCCCTGGAAGGCACACGTCCCCCCTCCCAGCTCGGCATCCCCCCTGGAAGGCATATGTCCCCCCCCTCCAGCTTGGCATCCCCCTGGAAGGCACACATCGCCCCCCAGCTCGGCATCCCCCCTGGAAGGCACACATCCACCCCCCAGCTCGGCATCCCCCTGGAAGGCACACGTCCCCCCTCCCAGCTCGGCATCCCCCTGGAAGGCACACATCGCCCCCCAGCTCGGCATCCCCCTGGAAGGCACACGTCCCCCTGGCCCAGCTCAGCATTCCCCTGGAAGGCACACGTCCCCCCCCCCCCCCGCCCAGCTCGGCATCCCCCTGGAAGGCACACGTCCCCCCTCCCAGCTCGGTATCCCCCCTGGAAGGCACACGTCCCCCCTCCCAGCTCGGCATCCCCCCTGGAAGGCACACGTCCACCCTCCCAGCTCGGCATCCCCCTGGAAGGCACACGTCTCCCCTCCTAGCTCGGCATCCCCCCTGGAAGGCATATGTCCCCCCCTCCAGCTTGGCATCCCCCTGGAAGGCACACATCGCCCCCCAGCTCGGCATCCCCCCTGGAAGGCACACATCCACCCCCCAGCTCGGCATCCCCCTGGAAGGCACACGTCCCCCCTCCCAGCTCGGCATCCCCCTGGAAAGCACACGTCGCCCCCCAGCTCGGCATCCCCCTGGAAGGCACACGTCCCCCCCCAGCTCGGCATCCCCCTGGAAGGCACACGTCCCCCCCCCCACCCCCCACCCCCCACCCCCGGCTGCCTGCTCGGGACAAGGTTTCCTTGGAGCCTCAGCACAAGTGATGCCCAGGAGGAGGGAGGTGACAGGTGACATTCTTACTGAAGCCCTGGCTTTGTGCCTCCTGGAGCCCAGGCCGTTGCTTTCCTCAGATGCGTCAGCCCCCTGGGGACGGCCTGGCTGAAGCTGCCATCGGAGGGGCCCCTCGGTGGTCATAAATGTGTGGCCGGGGCCTTGACCACCACCAGCGGGACAGGAGACCCCCTACAGGGCACCGCTGAGAACTTCTTCCCTGGTCTGGCTCCCCACCGCCTTCCTAACTTCCTGTGCCTTCACCTGTCCCCTGGGGAGGCCCCAGCACCCACCGACCATGACAGGCAAGTGGACAAACTCTGGGTCTGTGGGTGGAAACAGTGCTGACCCCCCATTAAGGAGCAACGAAACAGCCAAGGGGACCACAGCCTTACTCAGAGAACAAAGCCAGCCACAGAAGCGTACCTGCTGTGGGGACCTGCTGTGGGGTCCAGGGGCTGGGTGGGGCTGGGGCCTCGGCTAAGGGGAGCCTGGCTTCCTTTGGATGTGATGAAGGTGCTCTAAGATTCACAGTGCTGATGGGAGCACAGAGCCGTGAATATGGTCAAAACCACTGAAATGCACACTTTGAATAAGTGAGTTGTGTGTTATGCAAATGTGACTCAATAAAACTATTTAAAACAAAATGACAGAGGGGCAAGAGAAACCAGCCTTCCACTCCACACAGGCCGGATGGGGGACCCCCGCGTGCTCTCGCATCCTGAGGGCGCTTCCCTGTCCCCCCACCTCTGGTCTCTGTTTCTGGACCGACAGGACTGCAGGCCCCACAGGGGCTGTCATGTGATCCCAAGCGTGGGCCCGTCCAATATGCAGCCACCGGCCACTTGGGCACATGGAGCATGGCCGTGGCGAGTGAGGCGATTCTGGGGGGTGCACGGCACCCCGACTCCACACACCCGGTGCCACAAGAAAAACATAAAAATGCAGGATCTCATTCTGTTTCATGCTGAACATGCACCAAAATGTGCATCATTTCTGATAAGAAGGGTAAATTATTAATTACATTATTTCCATGGGTTTCTTTTTACTGTTTTTCTATGTGGCTACTGGAAAATGCAAAATCACACCTGTGGCTCGCGCCGGGTGGGGGTCCGGCCCCCAGGCGCTCGGGCATCATCCCAGCTCCCAGCCTCACCATCATAGGCAAGGCTGCTGGTCACACCTCCTGGGGGTGCTGAGGACCCTCATTCCAGGCTCCTCACTGAGTGAGTGGCCCAGCAGAGGAAGGAAGGAAGGAAGGAAGGGAGGGAGGGAGGGAGGGAGGGAGGGAAGGTGAGCCAGGTAGCAGGATGGCTTCCCCTGTGCACATGCCCAGGAACGTGGACAGGGCATGAACCCGATCCTCCCATTCAACCAGGCTGAGAGCCCCATGGGTCCTGGGGTGGGGAGGACGGGGGTGCCAGCCTGCTCCCCAGCCAGAGTCGAGTCCCCATGACCTCTGTCTTCCAGGGACGAGCCACGGCCCCACAGAGTGAGCGGCTTCCCTGTGGCCATAGGGGCCCTGGGCTACCCAGGGGCTGCAGGAGGCTTCCCTCCTCCGGGGCTCAGTGAGGACAGCCCCACTGGGCTCAGGTCTGTCCTCCCCGCTCCATCCCCAACAGGACAGCCCAGGCCAGCAGGGAAAAGGGCCCCCCCCACTCAGGAGAAATGAGAGGAAGGCCCACGACGACAACAACGTTGTTCAGATTTTAACTTGTCCACATTCTTTACCGATCTGAGGCGGGTGCCAGGAAATTAGTCACTGAACCAAAAGAGCCCGGCTGATAGCATCTCTGCGCCCGGCAGTCACAGGGCAGGAGGGAGCGGGAGGCTTCCAGCAGGCAGGTCCCTGGGGAGATGTGAAGGAAGTGCTCGGCACACACAAACACCCAAAAGGCTGCCCACAGAGCAAACCAGCGACCCCTGCAGGGTGCACACCCTCCCTCTGGCCTCTGGCCCCGGGGCACTTTGCCGTCCAGGAGTCTGGGGAGCTCCCCCCTCCCCAGAGGAGTGAAGGACAGGGCCCTGTGTCGGGCCACTGTGCTGGGGACAGCCGTCCCTGTGAGTCCTTCTCAGGGTCCTGCACCCCCAGGGGCTCCTGGTCCATGCCGTGTGGCAACTTCTGTGTGTGGCTCCCCAAAGGCCCCTCCTCCCCTCCCTCAGCATTCCTTCCAAGTCAGGATGGGGAGCGCTGCGGGGGGCCAGCCCCTGCCCCCATTTTGATCTCGCTGCCCAAACTGGCCCAACACAGCCACACAGAAGCCTGGGGTAGAGCTCCTCCAGACCAGAGGCCCCTGGAAGCTGGGGTGAGACCCACTTGGCAGCAGGAGGAACCCGGGCAAAACCAAGACTCTTGGTTTGTTTTGCTTTCAATCAGAACTCCCAAGAGAGTGGGCTAATTAGGACATGCCCGGCCCCAGGCGGCCCACATGTGCCTACATGTGCTTGCAGAGCTCCTGGGCCCAACCCAAAGAGGGCTGCGAGCAAGTGGGCGGGAGTGAAGGAGCCGGCGGGTGGCCTCCCCTCTAGGTCCGGGGCAGAGGATGAGTCCGGCCTGCCGGGAGG